GCAGTGGTCCATGAGTATTGCGTTGGACGTGCTCTGCCCACCGGCTGCAGCCCATCGGTGCGCCAGACGTGCGCGCGTGCCTTCTCAGAGGTGAAAATAGGGGCGAATAGCCCAGGGGAGAGCAGCACATATATTCAGGTGCGCCGATGATCTATGTTTAATTCGGGCCTGTCCCTTTACAGGGGGAATATTCAGAAATAGTCAAATTATCCCAGCGCGACCCTACCTAGGAGTTGGAGCCCCCTAGGAAAGCAGCATAAGCTAAGCTAAGCTAAGCTAAGCTAAGCTAAGCTAAGATAAGGTAACTAAGCTAAGCTAAGCTGAGCTAAGCTAAGCGAAGCTAAGCTGAGATAAGCTAAGCTAAGCTAAGCTAGGCTAGGCTAAGCTAAGCTAAGCTAAGCTAGGCTAAGCTAGGCTAAACTGCGGTAAGCTAAGCTAAGCTAAGCTACTATGCGATAAGCTAAGCTAAATTAAGCTAGGCTAAGCCAAGCTACGCTAAGCTAAGCTAAGCTAGGCTAGGCTAAGCTAACCTAAGCTAAGCCAAACTAAGCTAAGCTTAGCTAAACTAAGCTGAGATGAAATAAGCAAAGTTTAGCTAAGATAAGCTGGGCTAAGCTAAGCTAAGGTCATCTAAGGTAAGGTAAGCTAAGCTAGGCTAGACTAAGCTAAGCTAAGATGATATAAGCTATGTTATGCTAAGTTAAGCTAAGCTAAGCTCAGGTAAGTTAAGCTAAGCTAAGCTAAGCTAAGCTAAGCTAAGCTAAGCTAAGCTAAGCTAAGCTAAGCTAAGCTAAGCTAGGGGAACCCAGGGAACGCAACTGGGGGAACCGTGGGGCGGGGACTGGGGGAACCGCCGGGGGCGATTTCCATTGCCCGGCCCCTTTAAGCTAAGAGAGTAAGAACCCTCTAGGCAGAGCCTAGGTAGGGAAAAATAGTCTGGGGATATTTTTTTGAGTATTTTTGGATCATTTTGGAGTATTTTTCGAGTATGTTTTACCTCTCGTTGAAATCCCCCTGTAGGGGGACAGGCCCGACTTAAATCAATGTTTTCGAAAAGGCTCCCAGGCGAATACGTGCAATGCCCGCCCCTGGTCAGCCACGCGCAGAGGGAGGTGGGGGGAGGGGGGAGGGCTTCTTAGAAGCACCCCTGCTTCTTAGACGGCGCCTCCTGAGAAGCCTTCTGAGAAGCAGCCTCCCTCTAAGAGGCAACCTCCTTCTGAGAAGCCCTCCCCCCTCCCTCCACCCCCCTGTGCACTGCCCGCCCCTGTGCGCGCCGCCAACCTGGGCCGCTCGCCCCCGTCGTCGCCGCCGACCGGCGCGCGTGGCCGCGTGGCCGGGGCCCGGCTCTCCCCCGCTGCCTCGGGCCCACCGGTGCCTCTCAGGCGCCCCTCGTCTGGGCGCCTGGGCCGCCGCTGCCCGCTCCCGCGGCGGCGTCGCGCTGGGACGCTCGTCACCGCGCACCGGACCACCCCCCAGCCAGGAGGGACAAAAACAAAAAACACACAGACACAATGAATCGTCCACTCCCGGGAAAGTGGGGGAAAAATATGGGAAGTGGGGGTGGGAAAGACAAAGACCCAGAAAACATGTGACGATATGGTGAATCCTTTTGTTTGTGTGTGTATGTAATTATGTGTGTCCCAGGGCCCCTTCACCCAGCCCAGCCCGAAGGCCTCCATCTGCCCTCCACTTCTAGAGTGGGGGGGGGGTCGGGGAACACTGGGCGAACACATGGAGCCCGTACCCCCCCTCCAACCCGAAATGCGGGTCGGGTTCGGGTCTTCGGGTTGGGTTGGGGTGGTCTGGTAGGTAGTGAGTTCACTGCTTGCGGTCCCAACTCGGTGGCACCTGTGGTTTTGTCTTATCAGCTACAGAGGTCGCATCCTCTGCAGTGGCCGGTGCCGCCGCAGGATCCAGCCACCTGCTCGTCTTTCCCGCCGCTCTTCGCCCACCCATTCTTCCTACCACTTCTCTGTTTTATGCGTTCTCGTTTTTCGCCCTGCCCTCGCCCACCTGTAGTGTCCCTCCCGCGGTTCCCTCTTGTTTCGTCGTTGGCCCCTTTTGTCCCGCTCCTTGCCCTCCCTCTCCCTCTCCAGCTTGTCGTTCTCGTTTTGCCTGTCCGCCTTCGTTTTCCCTGCATTGCCTGGCCTCTGCCGCCCAGCGGTTGAAGAATGGAATGAGCTCGATCTTAGCTGGGGTTACCGGCTTTGATCTCGCATCCACAAAGGTGGGCAATTCGCCTCGGCAGTACCCTGCTGTGAGCATTTAGAACCGGCATCTGCATCCAATCGCCGCTTCGGAGGTCTGTGTGTGTGTGGGTGTGTGATAGTTCGGCATCCACATATCATTTTGGGCGCAATTTACGCTGCCTAGACCCGTCTTTGTTCAATCGCGACTGTTGTGTCACATCGTCGGCGGAGAATTAATCGTCTGTGTGTGTGTGTTTGCGGTCTGGGCGCTGGTGCTGACCCCCTTCGTCGGTTGAGCTCAACCCGAGGAGGTGGTTCAGGCGTAATGAGAGGATTATCAGGGCAGTGATGTTTCAGGCATAGTGTTGGACCACGAGGGGTCAGACCGATTGTGTGGTCAGGGGTCAGGTGTGTTTGTCAGGGGTCAGGGTGTGGGGGACCCAGTTGTTCTTGCAAACGCTGAGGGCATTGTTGTTCCGTTTTAAACTTTCCGTGTTGCGGTCGACTAGCATATTCCAATAGAACGGTAAACCGAACCAGAACAAACTATCACACGCCGGGCCCGAAACGAGCGGCAAGCCAACGCATACACAAAACTGCAATCCGAAACATAAAACCGAGACACCGCAACGAAAATCGACAAACCACGGCAGTTAACAATACCAATGAAAATAATTGCAAATGGATAACAACAACTAATCAAACGACGTCGAAACGGCATTCCCAAAACGGACAACAAAACGGCACCTTGCAGAACGAGAAACAAAGCGCGCTCCTGCAAACGGAAAAAACAAACATTACCCCCAGCGTTTCTCAAGAGCATTTGAAGTGGGGAGGGGGTCAGGGGGTGGGTGGGTCAGACTCGATCTAGCAGGGGTCAGGCCGTGGAGGAGGAGGAGGAGGAGGAGGAGGAGGAGGAGGAGGAGGAGGAGGAGGAGGAGGAGGAGGAGGAGGAGGAGGAGGAGGAGGAGGAGGAGGAGGAGGAGGAGGAGGAGGAGAGGAGGAGGAGGAGGAGGAGGAGGAGAAGGAGGAGGAGGAGGAGGAGGAGGAAGAGGACCAGGAGCAGGAGCAGGAGGAGGAGGACGAGGAGGACGAGGAGGAGGGGGGGGGGTACGGCCGATGGAGGGTCGGGGTCGCCCGAGGGGAGGGGGGAAGGTCGGCGTGGGGCGGGCCGGGAAGGGGTCGGGCCAATGGGGGGTCAGGGGGGCGTCAGGCCGAGCGTGAGGTCGGGAGGGATCAGGCCCGGAAGGGGGGGCTGAGGAGGAGTAGGAGTAGGAGGAGGAGGAGGAGGAGGAGGAGGAGGAGGAGGAGGAGGAGGAGGAGGAGGAGAGGAGGAGGCGGAGGAGGAGAGGAGGAGGAGGAGGAGGAGGAGGAGGAGCGGAGGCGGGCAGGAGGAGGATGAGGAGGAGGAGGATGAGGAGGAGGAGGAGGAGGAGGAGGAGGAGGAGGAGGAGGAGGGGAGGAGGAGGAGGAGGAGCAGGAGGAGGGGAGGAGGAGGAGGAGGAGGAGGAGGAGGAGGAGGAGGAGGAGGAGGAGGAGGAGGAGGAGGAGGAGGGGGAGTGGAGGAGGAGGGGAGGAGGACGAGGATGATGAGGAGGGGGAGGAGGAGGAGGAGGAGGAAGAGGAGGAGGACGAGGAGGTTTAGGAGGAGGGGCCGCCAGGGACCTTTCAGCAAGCAGCCCCCGACCTCCAGGGCCCCCCCCCTAGAGACCCAGAGGAGTTGTCAGGGGGGTGGGGTCAAGCTACTCGCTCATTCCCACCCGCCCTCCCACTATATTAGCCACTGCAAGGCCGGGACCGCCATCGACAACCATCCAGAACCAATGCAGACGCCAGCTAGGTACGCGACGCTCGCGAGGTGCGCCGCGCGTGCCAGGGCGGCCCCATCACCCCTGTCAGATAACAATGCGACGTACATTCGTGGGGCGCCTGCGAACGGTCCAATATTCTGCCGCCACGATCATGGCGCACAGGTTTTCGACAGGGATGGTGTACCTGCAAATGCAAGCAAGGCAATCTGCCGCCCCCTCGTCCCTGTCAAGAATAATGCGAGTTGTTCTCCAGGCGCCCTTCCGCGAAGTGCACATTTGATTGTTTTCTGACGGGGGTTGCGGGGGATAGGGTCGGCATGGTTTCGGGTCGGCTACAGGTCGGGTGGGGGTTGGGGTGCATATTTGTAAGGAAGAGTGATCAGGGGAGTTCGAGGGGGCTAGGATGGGTCAGGGTAAGGTCAGGGGTGGGGGAGTCATGGCGGGTTCAGGCCGAGGGGGGTCAGGCCCGAGGTGGAGGGAGGGAGGGAGGGAGGGAGGGAGGAGGGAGGAGGGAGGAGAGGAGGAGGGAGGAGGAGGAGGAGGAGGAGGAGGAGGAGGAGGAGGAGGAGGAGATGAGAAGGAGGGGGAGGAGGAGGAGGTGGGAGAGGAGAAGGAGGCGGAGGAGGAGGAGGAGGAGGAGGAGGAGAGGAGGAGGAGGAGGAGAGGAGGAGTAGGAGGAGGAGGAGGGGGAGAAGGAGGGAGGAGGAGGAGGTGGAGAAGGAGGAGGAGGAGGAGGAGGAGGAGGAGGATGATGATGAGGAGGAGGAGGAGGAGGAGAAGCGAGGAGAAGCGAGGAGGAGGAGGAGGAGCGAGGAGGAGGAGGAGGAGGAGGAAGAGGAGGAAGTGGGAGGAGAAGGGAGGAGGAGGTGAAGGAGGAGGAGGGAGGGAGGAGGAGGGGAGGAGGAGGATGGGAGGAGGAGGGAGAAGGAGGAGGAGGAGGAGTAGGAGGGCGGAGGAGGAGGAGGAGGGAGGAGGAGGGAGGATGAGGAGGAGGATGAGGAGGAGGAGGAGGAGGAATAGGAGGAGGAAGAGGAGGAGGATGAGGAGTTGGAGGAGGGAGGAGGAGGAGGAGGAGGAGGAGGAGGAGGAGGGAGGAGGAGGAGGAGGCGGCGGAGGTGGGAGGAGGAGGGAGGAAGAGGAGGACGAGGAGGATGAGGAGGACTGTAGCCCAGGATGCACCAGCAATGCTTTGGTACACCCTCCCGTCCCAAGGCCCTCACTCAGAAGTCTGTACAGGCATTCCTTCTCACTTTGACAAGAGCCCCCTTGGAAGACGAGCGCCCGATGGGGCCTATCATTCGGGCGAGGGTTCCCGTTTGGAAAAGGGACGGCCCTCTTTCGAGCGAGCCTCAGGTGAGAGTCCCAATTTGAAAAGAATCGCCCCTTCTCCGTGCGACTGTTGAGCAACTTTACCTTCCGGGTCGTAAGTTTCAAGGAAGTCTCGTGCGAGATCCCCATTGTTTGAAAGGAGCCGTTCCAAAGGCTTGTGCTTCTTTGGGGCTTTACTGCCGAATGTGCACGGCCCCAAGGCGAGAGCCACATTCTGCACATGGGTCGCCCTCCATTCGTGCAGCTGTCGTGACTTTTGCGTTTTGGGATGAATAGGTGTGAGGGAGTCTCAGGCTTACCCATACCTCCGTTCCGACACTTCTGGCTGCGCGACGATGAGGAGTCGTTTATACGGAGTCGGGATGCAATATCAACAACATGGGGAGCACCAGGAGGAGGATGAGGAGGAGGAGGAGGAGGACCAGTGTAAACCCAAGAGTCATCAACTATGTTGGAGTAAACTATCCCTCCAAGATCCTTCTTCACAGGCCAGTACAACGGTTTATTTCCATTGATGGAACTGCCTCGTTGGAAGGCACCCGCTTTAAAAGCATACCAGTACATCGTTCTCGGGATTCCAACACCACGGATCAACCTGACTGTTGCGTCTTGACGATCCTGAATCGTGCCAGAACGCCGTTCTTAGGATTTCAACACGGAGAACCAACGTAATTATTGCACCCGCGTAATCCGAAAATTTTTCCAAGCACCATTTCTGGGACGTTGACCATGTGAACCCGTGAAACTCATACACATTTTTCAAGCGAGGGTGCGCCGCGCAAAGGCGAGAGCCACATTTTGAAAATCACCCGCCCTCAATATGTGAAACTCTTGCATTTCTCAAAACTATACGTGCGCCGCGCTAAGGCGAGAGCCACATTTTGAAAACGCTTCGTCCTCAATCCGTGAAACTCTTGCAAATGTTTAAAATGAATGCGCGCCGGGCTGACGCGAGAGCCATATTTTCAAAGCCATCCGCCCTCCATCTGTTGAACTGTTGCCATGTTTTAAGCTTCGGAGTCATAAATGGTGAGGAAGTGTCAGGCGAAACGCCCGGCCCGCCCTAAACACTTGGCCTCGGTGTGCGACAGGGAGAAGTTATCCATGAGGAAGAAGGAATGGAGGAGGCGGAGAGGAGACCCACGCCGAAATTGGTTCGGTTCGTTGCCGTTCGGGTTTTTAGAGCGTTTTACTCACGCCGCTTCGGTTCGGTTTGGTTCGGTTCGGCGGTGTCGGGCCCTCCTCCTCCTCCTCCTCCTCCTCCTCCTCCTCCTCCTCCTCCTCCTCCTCCTCCTCCTCCTCCTCCTCCTCCTACCCCTCCTCCTTCCCTCTCCCTTCCCCTCCCTCCCTCCTCCCTTCCTCTCTTCCGTTTGGGCCTCCTCCTTTCCCCCCCATGCCCCTTATCCTTGGCGCACTTCCCTCCTCCCCTCCCCCCCTCTGCTGCCCGTGGTTTTCTCCTCGTCCTCGCCCTCCAGTGCTTCTCCCCGCGCTCCTCCTCAAACTCTTCGGATTTCGTCGCGTCGTGCACGGCGACGCCGCGGAGGTGCCTTGACACGCCCCTGGTCGGTGCGGACCTGTGCACGCAGCTGAGCGACAGCGACTGCGAAGCCGCGGACGGGCCACGCATTCCTGCGGCCGGGCCGATGTCATTCGATCGCCTCCTGCAGTCACAATGCTGCCAATTGGGTTGGGTAAGAGTTCAAAGAGTTTCACAACTCGCCCTCTGGATGCAGAAGTTAAGCCAGGACTGTCTCCGTCGTGGCCTCGGAAGGCTTTGGACGGGTAAGTTTCAGCACTCACATATCCAAGCTCATTGCAAGCGCATCCGCGATTTTGCGCTGGGTTTCGAAAGCCGCTCACGGGATGCTAGAACAGAGCCACTTGAATCGCGGTCTCAGGGAGTCTCAACTGGGCTCGCACATCACAACACACGGTGACCCAAGTCTGAACCAACACACAGCATTATTGCACATCGGATCCGCACATGCTCGTCTTACATAGCCAGCCTGGGACCGAATGTCAACACACAGCGTGTACGACGCACCGCATCCATACTGCGGGAACGTCTGACTTACGAGTAAGGTTCAACATGCAACAGCTGGCTCGTCATCGACCGTGCACTTTTCACTGCTGCCAGTTCGGGGCCCAGTGGCGGAAAAAGGACCACCGTGGCCGCCTGGGGCGCCGTTGATCTCTCCAGTTTGGCCCGGAGAGCTCTGGGTGCCCGGGGTTGTGTTTGCGTCCGAGGTTGATAGATTTCCTACCCTGACACGTCGATTAGCGAATTGGCCGTTTTCGGTTCGCGAGAGGGCGTCGCGGCCGTCATTCTTGCGGGTCCAGGTCCGTCGGTTTCGGTCCTAGGCCGATTCCACTGCATGGATATATACTACAGGGAGGTTTGTCCACCGCCGATCGCGGTCAGGCAGACCTCGCGTAATCCTGGCGGGGCACGCCCAGTGCGTCCACCTCACACCACAAGCCGCCGCTCAGCCTCTGCGTTTCCTTCGTGGGATGGCAGAGCTCGTCGGCCATCCTGTGCAAGTGCAGCTGCACATGTGTGCTGCGAGTGTAGTGATGAGGTGGAAGGCCTGCATACTCCAGATTTCGTAATAAATGGGAGGGGGTCTGGACCCTCCAAGACAAGCCATTTCAGACCTCCCCCGTGGGAGAACCCTCCAAAACATCGTCCCCAGACCCCCCAGGCCCTCCAAGATAGCCTGGAAGAGACCGCCCCCCGAAATGAGACCTCCCTCACTTTATTACGAAATCTGGAGTGTGTGTGGCGGGTTATTTTGGGGAGGCCCAGCGGCCAGTTTTAGTCTTCTGTGATCCTGGGGTCCTGTGCATCGCTCCCGCCTCGCTTCAGCCGTTGCTCGGCAGTCGAGGCGGGGCCCCTTCCTGGTGCCCGGCTGTCCGACTGGCTTGGACTCCCGCAGAAAGATCGTCCTGAAACCGTGCTGCTGTATTAGTCACCACCCACCAAACCACCCCAACCCAACCCGAAGGCCTCAATTTGCCCTCCATTTCCAGTGGGGGGGGTCTGGGAACATAGAAAAAACACACATGGAGCCCATACCCCCCCCAACCCGAAATTCAGGTCTTCGGGTTGGGTTGGGGTGGTCTGGTAGTTAGTCAATTAGGGGGCCACATGCGAACCCTACCCCTACCCTCCACGGTTTCTGAGGGGGAGGGTGGGGTTCACTTCGCTCGGGAGCTCCCGAGTGATGTGGCCCCCTATCTATTCCTTCTGGCCCTGGCAGGGCCGCTCAGAGCTGGCCCTCTAGGGCTGGAGACAGGCTGCGCGGTCTCTGGATAAAGTCTGCGTGGTCGATGTCCGCTGACGCGCCCGCTCAAAAAAATGCGCCCCCCCCGCGCACCACCCCTTTCGAAGTTTCGATATGCTCTTGACGTTTTCTCAGAAGGATCTTGTGCACCATTCCCAATCAGTTTCAGCTTTCGCTCGACAGTCTAGACGGGGCCCCCTCCTGGTGCCGTGTTGTCAGCCTGGCTCCGACACACAGCACGTATAGGTCCTGCTGAACAAGTGTTGCTTTATTCCTCTGGGCTGCCGCCCCTTTCCGTCGGCCCCTCGTCATTCTATTTTCTGAGCTGGCCCTCGTGAGTGGAGACGGGGTATTTGATTTGTTTGTTTGTTTATGTGCTTGTGTGTATATATATATACACTCATATATATATATGAGTAGACATATCTATGTATATATATATATATATATATATATATATATATATATACATAGACATAAAATACCGCCCCTCTCCGGCCCTGGGTGCCACACCTCTCCGCCACATCTCGGGGACGCTCCCAGTACCGCTCCCCCTGGCATTCCGGGGAGTCTCCACAGCGCTCCGGGAGGGCCCAAGACGACTCCCAGGAGCGCCAAGAATGCGAAAGGATGGTCCAAGACGCTCCCAAGCAGTCAGCCTTCCGACGGCTCTCGAGCTCCCAGGTAACGTCCAAGAGACCCCAAGAGAGGTCCGAGAGGCGTCCCGGGACGGCCCGAAGAAGCCAAAATCGTAGTTTTCCATTATTTTGTTCAATGTTTTTGGCTTCTTGCGTTTTCGAGCTTCCAACGGTCCAAGAGCGCTGAAGAGGCTCCCAAGATCGTCCCGAGACCAACCAAAAGACCCTCAGGACGGCCCCGACGTGCCAAGAAGGCTCCAAAACTGCTGAAGAGGCGCCCAGGACAGCCCCAGACTACCCCAGAACAGGCCCAAGATGGGCCCAAGAGCGGGAGCAGGAGGCTTCCAGAGTCCTCCGAGAGGCCTCCGGGACCCCCCAGGCCCCCAACACCCCCCCGATCATTGAGAGGCCCCAAATAGGCCCCGACGAGGCTCCCAGAACAGCCCGAGAGGGCTGCAAGAGCCGTCCCGAGAGAGCCCAGAGAGGGTAACATCTTTGATTTCCAATGGCTTTTCTAATGGTTTTCGCCTTCTCACGTTTTGCCGCTTCTAACCCTCGAAGATCGAGGATTTTGAAAACACAAAAAGGAAATTCCCAGATTTCCAATTTTTTTCAAAGTGGACTCCTACTCGGAGATCCCACACATCCCCTGACATCTGGCCGGTACCGCGCCTCCCGGCTTCCTGGGGGGCCCCCAAGACGCTCAAGGACAGCCCAAGACTACCCCAAGGAGCCCCCAGAACGTAAAGAACGGCCCAACACGCTCCCGCGCAGCCCGAGACACCCTTCCGACGGATCTCCAGGCCTCCAGGAGGCCTCCAGAACCCTCAGGGGGTCCGGAAGATCCCACACCCCTGAGGGGCCCGGCTAACAAAACCCGCGAGGCACAAACAAACATGATGACCCACGAACCCGGAAAGGGATATAGAACCGCATGCATGGAAACGTTTTCACAACACCGTATTGGGCGACGGGCACTTCCACGAGACACCCCGCGACATTCGCGCCCCTGGAGAAATCAAATCTATACGCACATACGTAAAAGCACATGGATTCGTGCACCTGGAGAGGGCAAATCTACAGGCACATACGTAAAAAAACACACGGGTTCGTGCACCTGGAGAAGGCAAATCTCTGGGGCGCCCAGATCCCTCTAGTTCTACAAAACAAGCGATTCGCCCGAGACATCCTCGGTAACTCTGCGGAGCAAGCGTTTCGCTCGAGACATCCTCAACACACGAACGAGTGTCCCGCACCCAGTGATTTATCGATCGGGATTTCAAAAACAAGCGTTTCGCCTGAGACATCCTCAAATTTTGATCCGCCGGCCCACCTCGACCTTGATATTTATCAGGGACAGAATCCGCCGGCCCACCTCAGTTGAGGCACCTGGGACAGGTTTACCAACTAAAAGAGAAACCTGGGCCGGCGCCCTTTCCGGGAAAAACAGCGCCGAACAGCGCCGAGGAATTGAACAAATGGGAATCACACATTTTTTTGTTTTTGTTCCCAAAGTTTGGCCCCCGGTCTACTCTTGCAGCACAACAAACCACAATTCAGACCTCCCCCACCTCAAAAAACAGAACCCAGGAAGCTTTTGAGGGCCCCAAATCGTTGAATAGTAATGAGAATTAGTGGTTTCTGCGTTTCCGCATTTCCCCTTCTATACGATTCCGAGGCTTGCGCAGGGCTTCCAAGGGAGTCCCTGGACGCAAGAAGCGACCAACATAATATTACATGAGTTAGTCTATCAAGCCTAGCTAGAAGTTGAGCTCGCGCGAAGCGCGCGCGATGGTTCTAGTGTATATACATAGCACCCCGCAATTGCGGATAAGAGTAAGGGGGCGGGCGCGGGTGACGCGGGCGTCGAGCCGGCGGACCTCGTGGCCCTCACCTTCCCTGTCGATGGCCTGGTTTCCTGCGCTTGCTGGCTGGCACTTACATTTCAGAGCAGCTGGGTGTCAGCGGGCCAGGTTGGTTCGCCGTCGGCCTCGAGTGATTCTCAGCCAGACGCAATGCTAGGCACGCCTCCCTGGGTTGCTTCCCGCGCGGCTGCGGCGGCCGCTGGCGGAGGTTGGCCCAGATGGCCAAAGGCTCCAGCAGGAGGGGGCGGCGGCCCCCCCCCTGCTGCTGGTAAGTGGGCGCGCCTCAATCCCAAGTGTCGATGCGCGAAGAACAAGCCGCACTTCTGGTTCTGCAAGCATTGTCACACTGTCCGTGGTGAAGCTGTTCCTCCCCCTCGTGCTGCCGGTGATGCGCCTGATCCTCTCCAGCCGCTGCCTCCTGGTCCCCTGCGCCATTGTGGTGCTGGAGGCGCGCATTCTGAGCTGGAGCAGATGGCGCCTTTGGCGGCTAAGTTGGGAGACGCCGCTCTGGCCAACCAGTGCCAGGATCGCGTGGATGCAGCCAAGGAAGCCATGGTACGTGTCCAAGTTGTCCAGCATCAGATCAACCAAGCTTACCGTCAGGTGCAGGCCTTGGAGAACAGACTCAATCGTGAACTGGGCCTGCTGGACATATGGGAACAAAGCATCATCGACAAGAAATAAGAATGCCGCAAGGTCCGAGCAGAGCTCACGGCACAAGATGAATTACACAACAAGCTCGTCGCCCAGCTGCACGCCGAGACGCACAAGGCCCTATCCTCAGAGAGGGACCCGGTTCCTGTTCTTCAGTTGCGTGACATTGTGGACGGCGGCGGTTTCAAGTTCG